ATTATTTATTATTATTATTAATATTACTATTATTATGTATTTATTTATTATTATTATTACTATTATTATCATTATTATTGTTTGTTATTATAATTATGAGAGTGAGAAAGGAATATTATTATTTTTAGTTTCATTTATTATTTATTATTTTATTACTATCATTGGTATTATTATTGAGAGAGTGAGAAAGGAATATTGTTATTATTATTATTATTATTATTATTATTATTATTATTATTATTATTATTTATTATTATTTTTATTTTTATTTTTCTATTATTTTTATTTATTTACTATTATTATTATTATTATTATTATTATTATTATTATTATTATTATTATCATTATTATTATTTGTTATTATTATTATTATTATTATTATTCTTGTTATTATTATTATGAGAGTGAGAAAGGAATATTATTATTATTATTGTTATTATTATTGTTATTATTATTATGAGAGTGAGAAAGGAATATTATTATTATTTTTAGTTTTATTGATCATATACTTGAGTTTGTCTCATCCTCTATCACTGGTAATCAATTTGGATTTCTCAAGCATCGTTCTACTGTACAACAGTTACTCCTCTTTCTTGATCATCTCCTACAGTCAAAAAGCACTCATACTCAATTTGATTCTATCAATTTAGACTTCAGTAAAGCCTTCGACAAAGTCCCACATAATCTTCTGCTGTTGAAGCTACGTTCATTAGGTATTAGTGGTAATTTGTGGCAGCTATTGCATCATTATCTTAGTGATAGATCTCATTGTGTGGCTATCAATAACACTTCATCTCCTACACTACCAGTTCTATCAGGAGTACCTCAGGGGAGTATATTAGGCCCTTTACTCTTCATAATATATGTTAATGATTTACATTCATTGCAAATTTTTTCTCGCCTGCTTATGTTTGCAGATGACACTAAGTGTCTTAAGTCTGTCTCTTCTCCATCTGACACAGTACAGATTCAACGTGATCTAAATGAGTTATCACAATGGAGTAATACTTGGTGTCTACCATTTAATGTAACTAAATGTTCAGTCATACATTTCTTTTCTACTTCCTCTCTTCTTTCCCCAACCTATTATCTAAACTGCTCTCCTGTCTCTACAGTTGTGTCCCAAAAGGATTTAGGGGTTCTATTCTCGGAGGATCTGTCATGGTCTTCTCATTACAAGCAGTTAGCTGCTACAGCATATAAAACACTAGGTCTTCTACGGAGAACTTTTAGTTCTGCTGTTGATATACCTACTAGGAAGTTGCTATATACATCTTTAATTAGATCAAAGCTAACATATGCTTCTACTGTCTGGCGTCCTCATTTTTTAAAGGACATTTTATTTCTAGAAAGAATACAACGTCGAGCTACTAAGTTCATTTTAAACGATTACCATTCTGATTACAAAACTAGACTCATTAAATTAAATATGTTACCCCTCATGATGACATTTGAACTAGCTGATATTTCCTTTTTTCTAAATAATTTTCACTTCTCTGATTCACCTTCTAACTTTAATGCTTCAAATTATTTCTCTTTTTCGTCTACCTCTACTCGATCATCTTCATTTCACAAGTTATCTTTTAATTTTACTTCTCATCACTCCTCACATCACACTTTTTTCACCCTCTTCCCTCGTTTATGGAATTCTCTTCCACCTGTAAAAATCTCTCTATCTAAAAAAACTATTAAATTACACGTAAAGAAAACTTTTTGGAATCACTTTATTGTTCGTTTTGACCCTAATAATGTTTGTTCTTATCACTATGTATGTCCTTGCTTTTCTTGTGCCAATCTTCCTGTAAACTCTATGTATTCCTGATTTGTTTATGTTAGTAGTTATTTCATTTTATTTTTATTTTTATTATTTCCTTATTTACTATTCTTATTTTCTCTTTTTCTTCTCTCTCTCTATCTGTTTAATCTTTTTTTGTTTGGCGGTCAGCTCAGGAAGCTGGCTGTCCATCTGTATACATTTGTATACAGTAAAGTTATTTAAAGTTAAAGTTAAAGTTATTTATTATTATTATTATTATTATTATTATTATTATTATTTTATTATTATTATTATTATATTATTATTAGTATTATTATTTTATTATTATTATTATTATTATTATTATTATTATTATTATTATTATGAGAGTGAGAAAGGAAATTTTTTTATTATTATTTATTATAATTACTATTATTATTATTATTATTATTATTATTATTATTATTATTATTATTATTATTATGAGAGTGAGAAAGGAAATTTTTTTATTATTATTTATTATAATAATAATAATAATAATTATTATTATTATTATTAGTATTATTATTATTATTATTATTATTATTATTATTATTATTATTATTATGAGAGTGATAAAGGAAATTTTTTTACTGTTATTTATGATTATTATTATTATTATTATTATTATTATTATTATTATTATTATTGTTATTATTATTATTATTATTATTATGAGAGTGCGAAAGGAAATTTTTTTATTATTATTTATTATTATTACTATTATTATTATTATTATTATTATTATTATTATTATTATTATTATT